CATTTAGCTTGACTATGGAGGTATGGTGGCTAGTGAGGTGGGTTGCAGGTACTTGTTGGGAAACAAGTATCCTCCTTGTCTTGTGATTCTGCAAACCATGAAGTTAAAAAAGCTTCTTGTGGCTTTCTTGCTTCTGGTCATACTAGCTTTCAAACCATGCACTTCAGTTTGGATCCTTTCTAACCACTCTTCTAGGCTGGCAATGCTGTACTGATGATTTCCAAGCATGTTGTAGATGTGTTCTGCATCCAGCTGCGTGGTTTCGTGGTGTGGGGTCTCGTTGGTCGATTCTGGAGGTTTCATATCGGTCGATGTATTGTTGTCTACATCGATCGATGGGGATGGGTTAGGTCGGCTGGTGAGCTGTCTTTGAATATCTGCTACCTCCTTCTGAATCCCTTATGTTCTAAGTTCCAAACTTCGAACGTCACTCTGTACTGGGAACCAATACTCATCTAGTAATCTGTAATCTTCGTCTCCACAAAATTCAATAGATTTGTATATATCTCTTGTGACTTCTTCAAGTTCTTCTCTGGTACAGTAGTCTGGTGCGCGTGTATCGATCGATGGACTGGGTGAGTCATCGATCGATAGCCTCTGTAAGTGACTTTCGATAGGTGCGTCGAAGGTTGTGTCGATCGATGTTGATTGTTCTGCATCGGTCGATGGTCATTTCTAAGATTCGAGTTGTGCACGCAATATGTTGACTTCTTCTTCTAGGGCTTCTCTTTCTTTTTGTGATAAGTCATTGCTAGACGTAATCCATAGTATTTCTCCTCGAAGTCTCGATATGACTTTCTCCTGTTCTAGGCCCGATCCTGTTTTCTCCCAGTTGTGTTCACTGGTTTTCTCATCCAGCATATCTCTGACCTCTGCTTCTGTGAAAAGCTTGCAATCTGGAACTCCTTTAGCATATTGTTCAGCATGCTCCGGTAAGCAGAAACAAGAGCGCCCAAATAGTGAGGCTATTTTCAGCAGCTTCTCAATGTCTTCTTTGGAGACATGGATGATATCTCCGTTGACCTCTCTGGCATAACCAGCTTTCATCTCTGTAGACACCAAATTCGTCTTTCTTTTCCCAGGAGAAATGACGAACTCCCTGTTTGAAAGCTCTCTTCCCAAACTCGCGTTGTATATCGGTCGTAAATGGCCTTAAATGGGTCTTCAAAATCAAGCGTAACGCAGATGGTAGTATCAACAATTTAAGGCTTGACTAGTGGCAAAGGGGTATGTTCAAAAACTTGGCATTGGTTATGATGAGGTTTTCGCACAAGTTGCTCACATTGAGACAATACGCTTGATCATTGGACTGGCTGCTTCAAAAGGGTGGGAGGTTCACCACCTAGACGTTAAAACTGCGTTTCTCCATGGTGACTTGAAAGAAGAAGTCTTTGTGAACCAGCCACAAGTTTTCATCGTCAGAGGACATGAGAATAAAGTTTATAAGCTCAAGAAGGCTCTCTACGGCTTGCGCAAAGCACCGAGAGCTTGGAATGTGAAGCTAAATCATATCCTACGGGAGGTTAAGCTTTATCAGATGCTCGAAGGAACAATCGCTGTACCGTAAGGACGAAGGTAACAATTTACTTATCATATTCGTCTTTGTAGATGATCTACTTGTTACTGGTTCATCACTGCAGCAGATACAATAGTTTAAAAGAGAGATGGCCACTAAGTTAGAGATGAGTGATCTTGGGAAATTGACTTACTATTTGGGTATTGAAGTTCTTCAGAGAGAGGATGGCATTGTTCTGAAACAAGGCTGGTATGCAAGAAGAATACTTGAAGAAACTGGAATGGCTACTTGCAACTCAACTAACGTACCTAGGGAGACGAATACAAAACTCTCCAAATCACCAGACGAAAGGAATGTAGATGAGAAACAGTATCCTCGAAGCATTGGATGCTTGCGTTATCTACTACACACACGTCCAAACCTATCTTTTAGTGTTGGGGTACTTAGTAGATATATGTAAGAACCGAAGGAATCACATGGTGCAGCACTGAAACAAGTTATTAGGTATTTATGTGGAACTTGCTCTCTTGGATTACACTACTTACGAAAGAAAGATGTGATACTAGAAGGTTACAGTGATAGTTCACATAATGTGGATGCTGATGATGGAAATAGCACAACGGGACATGTTTTTTTATCTTGGAGATAGTCCTATAACTTGGTGTTCAACAAAGCAAGAAGTAGTTGCATTGTCCAGTTGTGAAGCAGAGTTTATGGATGCTACAGAGGCTGCCAAGCAAGCTATTTGGCTGCAGGAACTACTAAGTGAGGTAGTCAATGAAGCTTGCAGGCGGGTAACCATCAGAGTCGACAACAAATCAGCAATTCAACTCGCGAGGAACCCTATGTTTCATGGTCGTAGCAAACACATACATAGACGTTTCCACTTTATACGTGAATGTGTTGAGAATGAGCAAGTGGAAGTTAAGCATGTACCTGGGAATGAACAGAGAGCCGACATACTAACTAAACCGCTTGGAAGGATCAAGTTCAGAGAAATGAGGACTATGATTGGAGTTGAAGATGTAAGTGAGTTCAAGCTTAAGGAGGAGTATGTTGGAGTTAGCTTGAACGAAACTTAAGGAACAAGTTATTTAAATCTTAGTTGGATTATGATCTTAAAAGATAAGGATCATAATATATTGTGTGTTTATCAACTAGGATTAGGTTTTTGTTTTGACCGCTATATATAGCGTTGATGAGTTTATTATTTGATGAGTTGTGATTATGTGAACTTAAGAGCTGAAGGTATTTTCCTAAAGCTTTTGATTGATTGATTGAATAAGAGAAGAACTTCTTATTAACCTTTTGATTCTATAGGAAGAACCGGGCATACGAAGAGGAAGGAAAGCTTTGGCGGGAAGAAACAACATGATTCAAAGGGAGGATAGCAAACACTCTGAGGGGAAAAGATTCTTTGCCCAAGACTTGATCACTTGTCGTTTAAATAAGAACGATGCTTCATGTCTTGAGATCTATGAGATGGTTACTTGTTTAGCATCATCTTCTTTTTTTGTTTGTCTTTGAGTTTCTATAAACGTTGAGATTTCAGTAAGATGAGAGAGAGACAATCTTTACTTGTTTGGGATTTTATCAGATTGTGTATACTGTTGGAAGTAAACTTAGAAGGCAACTTGAGGAGCAATAGGTTTTACTATTGAGTTTAGGAAACCATATGTCTCTATATAAGTAGATATCAATTTGTGATATCTTGTGTGATTTTTAGAGATTGTGAGTTTGTGGGGTTCTTGAGTTTTGAGTGATTTTTTCTCAAGTTAATAAAGAGAGAGATATTCTTTATTGAGTTCATACAATCAACGTGAGTTTACGTTGGTATAGGGAGTTCGGAGTTACAAACTTACCAAGGGGAAGTGATTGTGCGTTTTGATGACACTAACCCTGCTAGAGAAAAAGACCAAATATTTTGTGGACAATTTTGTCAAGGATATTGGAACCTGGGGATCAAGTATGAGAACGTGACGTACACTTCTGATTATTTTCCTGACCTGGAGAACAAGGCTGAAAAGCTGATGCGTGGAGGGTAAGGCATATGTTGATTTGGTTACACATCCAACGAACAAATGAAAAAAGACTACAAAATGAAATTTGTTCCAACAATTTTCAATAAAATTAAAGTCAACATAGAAATCTCAAAACATTTTATATTTCGAAACACCAAAAACCATCTAAAACATCATATAAAATAAAACATAAGAAGTATGTTTCTCATTTCTTGGGTTTGGTATCTGGACTTGATCCTCTTAACTTGTTTGGGTCTGAACTGGAATGACTTAACTAGAATGTCTTCAGGAAAAGCTCCAAAGAGAGAGGACACAAGTGATTGTGTTCCAGGCTAGTAAAAGCTGCTATTACAGAAGCTGGAGCCAACTTAGCAATCTTCGTCTGGAAATGGAGAAGTCCTTTAGGGAAAACGAAGACTTCTCCTTTGTTAATGTACTTAGCCACGAGTTTTCCAGAGGTTGTTACAAAGCCTACGTAGAGCTGACCCTCTAGGACGAAGATGATCTCGGACGCACGGGGGTGAATGACGGTGGGTTTAGACAGAAGAAAATAACAAAAAAAAAAAAAAACTCCAACGGAAAACCCTTCAAACAAACTGGAGTCTTTCCCTCAAGACGACCCATTGGCGGAGAGAGTCTTTCTTCAAATTCAAACTTTCTTGAATTTCCCTCGCTTCTCCTTCTCCACTTGACGACGTCTTCTTCCTGCGCACGTAACAATGCTGCAGCTTATCATCGATACCTCACAGATCACCTTTCTCACTTGATCAGAGATTGAGCAAGGTTGAAGTGGTTCCTTGTGCTGCACGTTTTATGGATCAACGCTTAAAAAAAGTTATGGCCTAGTACGGTGAATGTAGTAGTCATGATAATTTTGTAGTCTTAAGACGTTAATAATTTTGAAACATGTTTCTGTATATTGCATCCGTTTCCACGAGTGAAAAAGGCAGAAAGAAGTTTTGAGGTGATAACTCTGATTTTACATGTGCATCGGTTTTTATGGCACTTGGATGGATGATTATGTGACAGATGATGATATATGTTACATGCATGCATTGTTGGGGGTAAAAATTTAATTTTTTGGAATGCTGTAGCGGGTTTATATGAATAGTGATGCTACACAACAACATTATTGGTAAAATTATTATTATTATTAAACCTGAATCCACACGATAACAATATTTGTAAAATATCTGTCTAATACCCGAGCTAATTACAAGTATTTTTGCAGAAAGCTCAACGGCTTCTGCCCCTTAATAATAAGTTATTATATGAGTAACTGATGAGAAGAAGGGAAAAAGGCATAATAGTGTCTTGGTTGATATATTGTATGATTTATTTATTTCCGACAACTTCATCTTCTGCTCTAGTTCTGAAAATTAGAGAAGAGTTTAGTTATGAGATTGCATATAAACTCGTATTAACTAAAAAGTGGTATCCACAATTAATACCTGAGAATTTTATCACACTGGTGGTGTGCCGTTAGGGAAAATCTTGTCTTTAATTGCCTGAAGGGATCTACGTTTTGGATTCTCTATGTAATCGATGAAGGCCTCATGATCACCTGAATAAGGTGGCCCTCGGGGAAGAGATATCTTTTCCAAGCGATTTTGGTGAGCGTCGTAGTAAATGAGATGGGGAGGATTTAGTAAGAGATTCCGATTTGCGAATACAAACTGGTCGTTGCCAATGGTACCAATGCATTTGTAGTACTCCCCAAAAAGAGCGACATCAGTGAATTCAGGAATCTCATATGGTAGTTTGGACCATGTTCCTGCTGCCTCAAAAATCCAAATAGGACGAGAGTGTTGATTTGGAATGTCTCTGATAAGGGCTAATTTGTTGTTAATTTTCACCAATGTAGCACCTGTGGCCTCTGAGGGTGCTTCAATAACGCTGAACTCTTCCGTGTTTAGATCGAAGCTCATTACGAAAAAGGAATTCACATCCGTCAAATAATAGGCTCCGTAGTAAAGTTTACCAACTAGACAGGGGCCGGGGTATACACTATAATGTGGAGTCTCGCAATCCACCCTTCGCCACGAACTATTTTCATCCACGAGCGATAGAACTTGAGTCTCCATGCGAGATGGACCCCGAATCACGCATAGGATCTTGAATTGTTGGCCTTTTTCGTCAAATCCAAGAAAGAAATGGGTCCCCTCTTCCATTGATACATTGACCTTTGGTAAATCCTTATACGCTCCGCCACAACCAGGGTTGCATATCACCGAGTTTCCGTTTCTGTCGAAACAGCACACTAAGCCAAGAACCATTTGAGAGATATTAATGCAGGAATTACACTCCAAGCGTGGAAGAGGGACTTGGTTTTGGTTTTGGTTCCACAGCTCCGGTGGCCCTTTTTGGAGTACGGAGTGGAACCAACGGTAGGTGATTGTCTTCTTTGTCGCCTTGTGGTTTTTTATGACGAATGATGTGAATAAAATCCGAGGATTTGCCACAGAATGAGATAAGAACTGTCCACTGAGATATTCAGTGCAAATCATGTTGTGCCAACTTTTTGAGAGGCTGCACATCCTTACGGCAGACTTGAGCGGAACCCTCTTGATAATTTCCATAATCAAATCATTTGGAAAACAATTAGACATTTTCTTTTCTCTTTCATCTTCCTTCTCCTTGATGATTTGTTTACCTTTGTCACTACTAATGTTTCTCTCCATTTTCACTCTTCTTAAGAATAACAAAATCTCTCACACAAAATACAAACTTAAGAGAAGGAGATGAGTGCTATATATAATGAATATCTCACGCTTTATAATTCTCTTTCGTGTAAAAATTAAACTCACAGATTTACACCTAAAACAATAACATGATGTATATGACTCATCAGTACTAACGAACCACGGTGGGTAGAACTTATTGATAAAGTTAAAGAGTTATGTCATTAATGAGCTGATCACGACTTTGTTACTATATACCAATTCGAGTCGGAGTTTTATCACAGTTCTCTCGATTCTTGAGGACAACTTTTGTCAGCATGCATTAGACTCCATATGTAACTACACCTACCTTTTTTCTTTTCTTTTCTTCTATTATATTTTCTTCACTTATGATCCAAATACTTAAATTATATATATGTTATAATTTACAATAGAAACTCATAGGTGAATCATGATGAGAACAGTCTCCTGTTCTGTTATGTTGTAATTTATAATATATGTTGTTTTTTTTTTGTCATGCCGTGCATGCATGTATAATAGTCTGTTTTACGTGCATGCATATATAATAGTCAGTTTTACGTGTAGCTGTTGACCCAGATCCAACTTACTTTAGTTGTGATTATTCTTATTTTTTTTTTGAAGATTGGCTTAGTTGTGATTATTCTTTCTGTCACGGTTGTCTACATCTCGATCGATTAATATTATCAAAATATATGAGTTTATGCTACAATATCGCATACCATTACCACATCAGTGTTTATGCAAGTTTTGATAATTTCAACGCATAGAACTTTACGTGCATATACATATATTGTATTATTTTCCGTAAATAATTAATGTTTTGTTCCTTTTTTTTACCAAAAGGAAGAACATTGTTGGAATTCACCTATTTAATTTGCTTGTCAAGAAATTTAAATAAGCATTATATATTCTGAACTGCCAACAAAAAGAAATACTCGTTATATATATATATATATATATATATATATATATATATATAAGAATATGTTATGATTATATTGTTTAAATTATATAGGCCTTTTTTCTTTGAATTCAATTTTGTAGGCATTTTGAAAATATGAAAAAGAAAAAAAAACTTATTTTTGATAATATCATTTGAATAACTAAGGTTAATTTTACTTGAAACCACAATAGACGAATAATCAACGTTGTTTTGAATCACATGCATGGGGGATCAAAGATGATTGAATATAATCCTTTAATCCTTACTAAAATGCCCAAGGAATATTCGAGACGTAGGTGATATTTCGCTGTCGACGTGTGAAACTAAAATGCAAATTAACGCGTAAGAACATTTAATTGTTTGTTGTTCAAACAGTTAAAGTGGATTGCTGATGACTTTGTTAGTGTAAATTAGTAGGATGAAGAGCCGTGCATATACATATATATTTTATTATTTTCCGTAAATAATTAATGTGTTGAAACTGGGAAGAAACAAAGGTCTTTTTTTTTACCAAAAGGAAGAACATTGTTGAAATTCACCTATTTAATTTGCTTGTCAAGAAATTTAAATAAGCATTATATATTCTGAACTGCCAACAAAAAAATACTCGTTATTTATATATATATATATATATATATATATATCTATATATATATATATAAGAATATGTTATGATTATATTGTCTAAATTATATAGGCCCTTTTTCTTTGAATTCAATTTTGTAGGCATTTTGAAAATAAGAAGAAGAAAAATAAAACTTATTTTGATAATATCATTTGAATAAGTTAGGTTAATTTTACTTGAAACCACAATAGACGAATAATCAACGTTGTTTTGAATCACATGCAAGGGGGATCAAAGATGATTGAATATAATCCTTACTAAAATGCCTAAGGAATATTCAAGACATAGGTGATATTTCGCTGTCAACGTGTGAAACTAAAACGCAAATTAACGCGTAAGAACATTTAATTGTTTGTTGTTCAAACGGTTAAAGTGGATCGCTGATGACTTTGTTAGTGTAGATTAGTAGGATGAAGAGCCGTGGCTGAGAATTTTTGGCCCCGAAGCCCATTATTTATTTGGCCCCTAAAATTATGAGATTTAAAAATGTTATAAGAAAGAATCAATCTCACAAAATGTGGTTGTGCCTTCTTGGAAATTGTTAAAATCAATTAATGATTAATACGTGTATATACTTAGTGTACATTATACATATAATCGGATATTTCGGGTTTTAGTTCGGATTTCGGATTAAACCGAACCCGAACCCGATAACCAAAGTATCAGTATATCAAAACCGGTCGGTTTGGGTTTTTCGGTTTGGGTTCGGGTTCGGTTTCGGATTATGGATAATAGACCCAGGCCTACTCACAGCTATCCGCACTTGAGAAGCACAAATCAAAATCTAGTACTTAAATTAAAAGCATTACCAACAAGATTATTTAAGATTTGTGTTAAAATTTGACCTTTAATATTAATATAACGTTTTAAGGCATCAAGCACGTGCTTGATTAACTTGTACTCAACCACGACCATGAAGATGATGTATGTTACTCATATTTAGTGAAGTTTTTTTTTGTGAAAATAGGTTTATTAAAGTTTTTTCTTGAAAAGTTAAGAAAGGTGGTTAACAAGGTGAATGAAACAAGATATGAGCTGGACTTAACTCATGATTTGATATATATATATATAATCCTTATAGTGGATGGGCCATAACCATAACTTAGATCATAGGCCCAATCTGAGATAAACATATGCGGCCATTAGGTCTTATTTCCTTTTCTACGTATTAGTAGTTTTCCTATTCCTAGTTGCACTAGGATTTGTGTAATTTCTATTTATCTATCTCGTGTAACTCATATATATATGGAGCCGTATGATCAATAAAAAGACAAGAAATTTCTCTCTACAATTCTCTCTGATTTATAACATGTTGATAACATGAATTGTCTCAAAAGCCTAGCTAAATCCGACCAAGAAACCCCAGCACAGCCGCCGGCTCTTTCCTTTTTCCGGCGAAGCACCACTGCGGCTACTTTTCCTTTTTGGTTTGCGAAAGCCCTAGCTCATCGACCAGCCGCCTTTGATTTCATTTTCTCGGCCGAATACCCTAGCCAACTTTCCTTTTCACGGCGAGAAACCAAGATCGCGATCTGACCAGCCGCCTTGTTCTTCGGTGGAACCCTAATCCACGATCAGATTCAAACCCGACCAAGTTCTTTGACGATCTCCTCCAGAACCCGATCAGTCGCAACCACGATCCGGCTAGTTCTGATTCAAGCACAACCGCGGTTCTCCTCATCTCTCTTGGTGGCCCGGTTCTACACATCAGTCTAAAGGTAATCTGAATAATTCTCTTTAAAACCTAGAGAATTAAAACCCTAAAATAGAAACTCTAAATCTTTGAATAGAATTGCTAGGTTGAATGGTTTGTTTAGGTTGATAGTTGGAATCAATAATGTTTGATTGATTGTTTGAGGTTTATATAAAATTTAGAACCGGGTGCTTAAGATTGTATAAAAAACCCTAATTCATAAATCTGATTTTGATTATTGATTGTTGATTGATTCAATTGCTTGATGATTTGAGGTTTAGGTTGACAGATTTTATGTTTAAACTAATTTCGAAATCTGAAACCCTAAAAGGGCCTTGAAAACCCTAAATCATCTATTGCTAAATCTGATTGCTAGATTTATGAATTGTTTTGAGGTTTTAAGAAATCATTAGCTAAGAATGTCTAATTGTTAAGAATCTAAAACTCTAATTTGGAAACCCTAGAAATCCTAGGCGCATATTGCTAACCCTAATTTTGTTAAACCCTAAACCCTAATCCGGATTGTTTGCTTGCATTAGTAAAACCCTAAAACCTAATCCGGTTAGTTTTATTTTGCTTGCATTGGTAAACCCTAAACCTATTGATAGAATTGTTTAGGAATCCGTTTTTGGTTATTGATTTCTAAATTTCTTTGCTTGCATAAACTGTTTGAATCCGGATTGATTGCATCATGGTCATATTAGAACTGTTTTAAGTCGAGATTCATAAAATCCAATTGTACTGATTGATAATCCATCGATATCCAATTGTATTGATTGATATATGCATTGTGAAACCCTAAATATGACTGATATTGATTCAAATGTAGAAAATATGCAATCTGGATTATGCTTCCCTTAATCTCTCTGGAGAGAATTATTTACAGTGAGCATTGGATACTAAGATTTGCCTGAGGTCAAAGGGACTCGGGGAGACTATCATCGAGAATAATTATGAGAATGACAAGAATAGATACCAGGAAATAAGTATCATTTGTCACCATCTTGCAGAAGGTCTCAAAGATCAGTATCTTACAATGGAGAATCCACTAGACCTTTGGACAGCCTTACAGCGGAGATATGATCGCCAGAAAAACGGTGCTATTACCAAAGGCTAGATATGAGTGGAGAAATCTCAGATTCCAGGACTATAATTCCGTGGATAAATATAATTCAGTCTTGTTTAAGATTGTCTCATTGATGAGACTGTGTGGTGAAGAAGTAACCGAGAAAGATTTACTAGAAAAAACTTTCTCTACATTCCATTCCAGCAATTTATTTCTGCAACAGCAGTAAAGAGAAAGAGGCTTCACCATATACACTGATCTGATCTCATGCCTACTTCTGGCCAAGACAAACACTGAGTTATTGATGATGAATAGTGAGATGAGACCTCATGGATCAACCTCATTACCAAAAGCCAAGAAGGCTGTAGAAGAAAAGAAAGATTCCAAAGAAAGCCACCACGTCTATGATAATAGACCACATGGTCGAGGCAGTGGTGGATGGAAAGGACGTGGTGGTCGAGGTTCTTATAACTCGTACGACCGTGGACAAGGGAACCACAATAACCATGGTCGTGGTCCCAGTATGGCCGTGGACGAGGCGATTACAACCGCAGTCAAGGTGGCATATCTAAGCCATCTTACTCGACCAATCACTCGACTAAATCACTTTGCCACAGATGTGGAATGGGGAATCATTGGGCTAAGACATGCA